ACTTCTCTTGAGAGGGGAAAAAGGGGGTGTCATATTCCAGTGATCTGGAGCAATTATTTATTGAGCTATTATACTGACAGGCTACTGGTGAAGATTACTCTGTTGAACCAGCTGATAGCAGAAGGCCTTTCCGTGCTCTTCTGGATGTTGGTCTTGTACGGACCACCACAGGCAACCGTGTTTTTGGTGCACTCAAGGTTAGACTCTTATTCATGGTCTTTCATGCTATGACGAAATGTGGGTCTATTAACTTGAAAAAATTTTGCCGCCTTTCAATTTTGATATGCTTGGTGGCGAACTGATTTGACCAGTATAATATGTTGAGTGATATGTACCCTTTTAGTCAAAGAGATGTGGAAAAGTTGTAGAATACTCTGAAATCTGAATGAATATTCCTAACGGCATGTGGTGAGAGTAATGGTGTTGGTCTTTAAGTCTGAACAACTCATTATTGACATTCTGTTGCGACGAGTCCACTGTGAACAATGGTTGATAATTGTTATGTTTGTTCAGTATTAAATTTGTGTCAACATTATACTATATCTTGTGCTGATGTATCAAGCATGATACATGTATTTGCATGTTTCAAGAGCTTTGGATTGGGGAATTGACAAGATCCTATGGTTGAAGTCGTGGTAATCTAAAATTAAGACCTGCTTGGCTCTCAAGAACTGTATTTAATGTTCAAAATCATGTCTTGATGTTTGAGGAATAGCAATGGTGATGAAGGTTTTAAAATTACAAATGTAGCCAATATCCAAACTATCTTTTGGACATAGAAACTCTCTGGCCAACTTTTAGGGAGAGTTTGATACTAGTTCAAGTTATGTTTGCAAACACAGTCCAAATTTTGTCCCATGTGACATTATTTTGTGCTTGGTTTTAGGGGGCATTGGATGGTGGGCTTGACATACCTCATGGTGAAAAGAGGTTTGCTGGATTTGACAAGGAGTCTAAACAACTTGACCCTGAGGTTCACCGCAAGTACATCTATGGCGGGCATGTTGCGGCTTACATGAGAGTAAGTATAATGTGGATGGACATCATTTCTGTTTTGGCAGTTTCTTTTTAGTTCTCTGTCTGGAGATGCTATGTTGCTTTTCTGAATGTGCAGACATTGATTGAAGATGAACCAGAGAGGTATCAGTCTCATTTTAGTGAGTACATAAAAAGGGGTTTGGAGGCAGATAATATCGAGGAGTTGTACAAAAAAGTCCATGCAGCTATTCGTGCTGATTCTTCTGCAAAGAAATCTGAGAAGGAGCCTCCAAAGGAACACAAGAGGTAAGTGTTTTATTAGAAGGTCTGGTCTCAATGAGATAGATGCATTTCAATCACTTATTTGCTTTCTTGGTAGTTTCCTACTGAGGTGAAATTTTTTAGAACATGAATTCGTTGTAATAGACCAATTATCTTGACTCTTGCTGAGTCACTTCATCCTTGTATATTTCCTTCATTCCTTGTTCTGATGTACCGAGTGGTTTACTTCTTTCAGGTACAACCTTAAAAAGCTAACTTACGAGGAAAGAAGGGCTAAGTTGATAGAGAGGTTAAATGCATTGAACTCGGCTGCTGGAAATGATGATGATGACGAGGATGATGATGAGTGAACACAGGAAAAGTTGCTGTTGCATTATTTTTTTTGTTCTTTTGTTTTTTTTTGGGTGTTGGGGATAGATGTCTTCCCAGTTTTGCATTTTGGGAGAATGAGAATTTATGACCTTTGGAAGTATGACAGGAACTTTATATGCCTAGTGTTGGTAAATTTTAATGGATAGTTATCCTATTGTAGAGTTTGAAGGATGTGTCACAAAAATTGCTTGAATAATTGTATGAATTTTTTTTCAAAGAGTACGATGAAAAGTTTTCAATGTGTCACAAAAATACGAGTTCGGTAAAATTAAGCATACAAATTTATTCGTGAATAGTACGAACATATTTGAAAGTTATGAAACTAAAAAATATGAATAAATATATTATAGTTTTTATGATATAGATCGCTCTTATTTTTTATATAACTTAAAATGTATGTTTTGAATAATACTTACGGGTGTGTATTATATGAGTATTTACTAACTATGATCCTGCATCGTCATCAAATAAAACCAAAAAAAGAAAAAAGCCTTTATACTGTTATTAACATGATATAATTACAAACAAAGGTAGTGAATATGCGAATAACTAATTTGATGTAACATATAGACTCCGTCAAACTCTTTCTTATAGATGATGAAGATTCTATACCCATCTCAATCTCCAACAAGTTTTATATTCTTCCCAAGGCCAGTTCTCTCGAGGAGAAACTATGATCGTCATCAGTAACATTTGGCTTGCTTGATGCCTCACGCCTAATCCAGCAGCAGACGCTTTTCTTTTCCCAAGAGCTGCATTTAGCTAACTCAATGGCACGTATTCTTTTGAGTAAACCAGTCTTGCATGCATAGAGAGTTTGGAAAAGAAGACTACTGAAGGTGAAGGCATGGGCAAGATCCGAGATATACTCAAGCGAACCACTCAGAATGGGAATGGTGAGTGGAGGAAGCTGTAGCAGTCAGAGCAGGAATGGTGATGGCTCGGGAAGCACAATGGAGGGTAGTGGAATTCCAATCTGATTGCAAAACGATCGTGGACATGATCTCATTGGAGGAAAATGCCAGGGAATCCAGAATTGCAGTTGTACTACAAGATGAGGGGCTTGTTTGACCAATGTACAGTGGTTTCTTTTGTCCGTAGAATCGGTAACATGTGTGCGCATAAACTAGCAAAGTTTGTTTTGTTGTTAGGCTTGTTAGAAAATGTTAAATGGGAAGGGGACTTTCCCATGTAGCTCCTTGAAGTGCCAACTCGAGTGGTAACTTTTTTTGTAACCAACCTCATTTTATCAGGTTAGAAATGGAATAAAATGCTGCTTTTGACAAAAAGCAAAAAAAAAAAAACCAGTCTTGCATGCATAATAAATATCCTGATCCTTGGCATATTTTTAGCTCTACCTCAATGGAAGAGATTTCCCAAAAACCCACTTCCACCGGACTACCAAAGAGTTAGGCTATGGAAAGACCTTTGGAAAACACTAATCAAACCAGCAACCGCGGCCAAAGGGTCAATGTTGTTCAGAAAGTGAAGGAACAACTTGGATTGCTATTTTCCGGAGCTTTATAGAAAAATATATTGTAACGACTTGATACATGTGAAGTAAGAAGGTGATTGGCAAATGAGTTTACGACAAAACATAAAATTTTTTTGAGAAAAATGGCAATCCAAACAAGAACGAGTTAAATGGTGCAATGGGGGCTGCAGGCACTTAATTTTCAGATCAAAGTGGGCCGACCTAAATGGTGCCATGTGCGGGGGATTCGGGCACCTGTATTGCTATAATATTCTATGTTTTCAGAACCGGACCGGATATTGACTCGGCCGAGGTCAGGGGTCAATGGGTTCGATCGGGGATCGATAGGGGTCGAACCGGATGACGTCATAAATAAAAATTATTTAAAAATTAAATTATTGTATATAAAATATCCAATAACATATTGATATTAATAAAGGTATATTCATATCTATTTGATGTTTCAAATATATTTAACAAGAAAATACAAAGAAATTAGAACAATCAAATAACAATTTATATTATTTAATAAACATTAACAAGTTTAGAATTAAAATTATGGATTTAATTGAAAAATAACATCAAATTTTAGGACAATATTTATAAAGTATGAAATATTTGAGGTATATTAATAAGTTTTCACAATTTAGGGGGCCAAAACATAATATTAAAAAAGTTTGAACTATTTTTACAAAATCTCCTGTTGGACCGGTTTTTCCGGTTCTGTACCGGTTAAATCCGGATTTTGACCGGGTTTTGAATCTCCCGGTTTTGATGACCAACTCGGACCTGACACTTGACCGGTTCCCGGTTCAACCGGTCAGACCGGCCGGTCCGGTCCGAATTTGAAAACACAGATAATATTGGCTTTGACACTAGGCAAGGACCTGAATGTTGGTACCACACTGATCTTTGCCAGTGTCTACAACTTTGTCACTGGTGCAATTTATGGTTTTCCCATGCCTGTGCAACCTTTGAAGTCAATTGTAGCAGGGAATAGATGGGATATAAAATGATGGAAGGGGGAAAGAGGATTTGAACTCAAGACCCTTGCGTTTTGAAATCTCAACCTTAGTCACTAGATCAAAACCTTCTCGATAATAGAGTACTTAAACACTTCAATACATTACATTTCTAACATGAATATATAGAAATATTGTTTTATTTTTTTCTTGAATTATTCATTCATGTTTGCATTGATTCACAACTTGTGCTGATATAAAAAAGAACTGTGCTGGTGCACAGGTCAAAATACTAGTTTTCCAATGAAGGCAATTAAGGTAGATTAATGTGTGGCTAGAAGAATAAAAAAGAAAGGCAGATATGTGGGAATCAACAGCATAGTATAAAGCATATACTCCTTCACAGTTTTTTAGTGTTGATAAAGATAGATTCTCGGACTATACAAGTATACATTGTTAGATTATAAATAAATATTTCCATCATTGTTTGAGATTCTATATTCATCTTACTTTGTCTTTATTAGACGAAACCTATTATATTCTATATTCACAAACAAAAATTAATCAGAAAATCAATTGTCTAAGGCTCGTCAAATAGTTTTTATAACAATAGCAGTCCATGTTCTTTCCAGGGTCAATTCTCTGAGGGGAATATATCATCATCAGCAGCCTTCTTGGCCCTTGCTTGCTTGATGCCTTGTGCCAAATTCACCGGCAGGCATTCCTCTATTGCTAATGGCCTCCCATCAATCCAAGGGCCGCATTATTACGTCAATGACAACCTTTTTTTTTTTTTTTTTTTAATAAAGTCAATGACGCCTGCTCTTTCATTTTTCTTGCAGGTATGCATCATACATAAATGCACCTCTCTTCAGTCCAATCAAATCCTGCCCGATTCTTGACATATTTTTAGCAGTATTTCAATAACAAGAACTCCCAAAAATCCTCTCTTTCATTTTTCTTGGTATGCATCATACATGAATGCACCTCTCGTGCATACATGAATGCACCTCTCTTCAGTCCAATCAAATCCTGCCCGATTCTTGACATATTTTTAGCAATATTTCAATAACAAGAACTCCCAAAAATCCTCTCTTTCATTTTTCTTGGTATGCATCATACATGAATGCACCTCTCTTCAGTCCAATCAAATCCTGCCCGATTCTTGACATATTTTTAGCACTATTTCAATAACAAGAACTCCCAAAAATCCTCTCTTTCATTTTTCTTGCAGGTATGCATCATACATAAATGCACCTCTGTTCAGTCCAATCAAATCCTGCCTGATTCTTGACATATTTTTAGCACTATTTCAATAACAAGAACTCCAAAAAACCCACAGCCGCCAAACTACCAAAGAGTTAGGCTATGGAAAACCCTTTAGAAAACACTAATCAAATCAGAAACCGCGGCCAAAGGTTCAACGTTGTACAAAAAGTGAAGAACAACTTACTTTTCAGATCAAAGTGGGCGGAGATAAATGGTGCAATGGGGGATCTAGGCACTTACATTCCTATAATATTGGCTTTGACACTAGCCAAGGACCTGAATCTTGGTACCACGCTGATATTCACTGGTGTATACAACTTTGTCACAGGTGCAATCTATGGTGTCCCCATGCCAGTGCAGCCGATGAAGTCAATTGCAGCAGTGGCCATCTCTGATGCAGATTTTAATATCCCAGAAGTTATGGCATCAGGGATTTGCACTGCAGGGATTTTACTTGTTCTTGGTGTGACAGGCTTGATGCAACTTGTGTATAAGCTTATTCCAATTTCAATTGTCAGAGGAATTCAGCTAGCACAAGGCTTATCATTTGCCATGACTGCGGTCAAGTACATAAGAAAAGTACAAAACTTATCTAAATCAAAGTCTGGTGCAGACAGGCATTGGGTTGGCTTGGATGGATTGCTCTTGGCTATTATTTGTGCTTGTTTCATTATAGTTGTTAACGGTGCTGGCGATGACAACGAGTATGCAGCAGAAACTGAGAGCGGTGCCAATGATGCCAGTGGATCAGGAAACAACAGAAGAAAAAGGTTGAGAAAAATCATAACTTCTCTGCCTTCTGCTTTCATCATCTTTTTGTTAGGTGTGGTTTTGGCAATTAGTAGAGGGCCTAAAGCAGTCAAAGGATTTAAATTTGGACCATCTCCTATTGAAGTTGTGAAAATGTCCAAGCATGCATGGAAGGAAGGATTCATTAAGGGCACAATTCCTCAACTTCCACTATCAATTCTAAATTCAGTGATTGCTGTCTGTAAATTGTCGACTGATCTTTTTCCAGAGAAGGACACCTCAGTCACGTCTGTTTCAATTACTGTTGGAATGATGAACTTAATAGGATGTTGGTTTGGAGCCATGCCATGCTGCCACGGTGCAGGAGGGCTAGCTGGACAGTATAAATTTGGTGGGAGGAGTGGTGGATGTGTGGCCCTCCTTGGTTTAGCCAAGTTGGTTTTGGGTTTAGTTTTAGGTAGCTCTCTAGTGAAGATTTTGGACCAATTTCCTGTTGGTGTCCTAGGGGTTCTGTTATTGTTTGCAGGGATTGAACTTGCTATTTGCTCAAGGGACATGAACTCGAAGGAAGATGCATTTGTCATGCTGATTTGCACTGCTGTTTCACTGGTAGGCTCTAGTGCAGCACTCGGTTTCCTGTGTGGAATTGTTGTTTATTTGCTTCTCAGGCTAAGAAAACTGTATGGTGGTCAGTCTTCTTCTGCAATTTGCTTTCATGGTAACCCATAATTGAGGTCTCAATGTATGAATCCAGGAAAGCTTTCCAAGCTTTGCCTAAGATCTTTGTGTCCTTTTTTTTTTTTTTTTTTAAATGCTTACACCACCCTTATCTGGTGGCAATAAGATCTGTAATTTTAATGTACACCTCTTGTATAATAATGGTTTAACGTTTTTTACTTGTTTGACGTTCTATGTGAACCAGAACAAGAATAGCAAAGGAAAAGAAATTTCATAAAGGGTTAAAAACAAAAAAAACCCCTATAGTATACCTAATGCACAGAAAAGTCCCCTGTAGTTTCAAAACATACAAAACGACACCTCATATTTCGAACTAAATTATAAGTAACAGAATTTGTTAAACTTAATGAAAATAACGGTTTCGGCTGTTAAACTTACCGGATTCCGTTAAATTTACCATTAAATTTACCGGATTCCATTAAATTTAACGAATTCTGTTAGTTAACAATTTAATTCAAAAATGAAGTGTCGTTTTATATGTTTTGAAACCATGAAGGACTTTTCTGTGTATTAGATATACCACAGGGGACTTTTTATTTTTAACCCTTTCATAAATAATGAAGACAAAAAAGAGGGACAATTGTTTAAGGATGGAGTTTATTCCTACCACACTAAGGAAAGGATAAAGAACCATATTATTATTATTTAGAGTCCACCTACAAAACACATTTGAAAATTCCAACGTTCCTAAACGGTACACACAAACATAAAATCCCTTGTTTCAAGGAGATGGAGCATTTTTTAGTTTATTTTTATCGCTAAATCGTACCCTATTATGAGCGTGTTCTCAACTGATTCTAATTTTGTAAAAGTTGATTTTGTAGAATTGCTTCTTGAAAATCAGATCTTTTCAAAATAACTCTTGTTCACAAAAGTCATTTGAATAAATGCATAGATGTTCTCAAAAAAAGTTAAAAAGTTGATTTTGACAAAAAGATAACTATGTTACACTTATATGCTATATCAATGAATATTTGCGCTAATTAAATAATTTTTGATGTAATTAATAACTTTTCTTATGAAGATTAAATGGCAAATGAGAAAAACAAAGGACACATAAATGGTCATCTGAAGGTAGTTTAATAACTATATTAAAATTAGAAGAATAATTTTGTTTACATGAAAAAGTAGGCTAGAATCAAAATTGACATCAAGACGTGCTTTTGATTTTCCGCTTTTATGGGCCCAAAAGCCTTTCAAAAATCAAAAGTTAAAATCAAGTTTCTAAAATAGTTAAGAACAATAATGCCTGTTTATTACATGGAGGAATATGGTCAAACTTCCTAGATGCACCAAAAAATTGCCAGCCTTTGCTTTTTCTTTTTTGTTCCTGATAGAAATCTTCTCAGTTATGCACTATTTTGCATACTTCAGAAGGATAAGGACGTGCTCATCAGTTTAGGACGTTTATTCGCTAAATGTTGGTAAATTTTATGATAAAATGTTATGAGAGTTTTAAGTTTTGAGGGATGTGTCACATCTCTTTGTGGTATTTTTGATATTCAATCTTTGTTATTGTATTTCTCCATCAGTTACCCTAGTCTCTTTTTTATTTTATTCTTCTTTTTCAAATTGCAGAAACTCTCAGAAGATAAAAAAGTGTTGTAAAAAATAACCAAAACAATGTTAATTAAAACTAATAAAAATAAAGCTTGAGTCGTGCTCAATAGTACTGTTCTAAGAAACTATTTCAGAAAGTTGAAATGTTTCCCCAAAATTAAACAAGCCTTCTTTTTGTTATAAACTTGAAAGATCATCACTAACAAACGTTGTTATAAACGTTGTGTAAATTACACCTCAACCCCTATGGTTTAGCACTTTTCCTTGTAATTCTCTAATGGCTTCAAAAGTTATATATAATCCCCTCATGATTTGAACTAAAGTGTCAAAGTAATAGAATTTGCGTTCCATAATGGAATCAACTAAAAAATGTCAAAATTACCACTATGTAAAGTTAAAAATTATTTGATAACCACATGGGTGGTTATATATATATATATAAATTACCACTATGTAAAGTTAAAAATTATTTGATAACCACATGGTTATATATATATATATATATATATATATATATATATATATATATATATATATATATATAATTTAAAAATTATAAGGGGGTTGTATGGTAAACCACTAAATTATAAGGGGATTATGTGATAAAACACAAAATCACAAGAGGTTAAATTGTCATCCATATTAGGTTTTTAAATAGGGATAATCTTGATATTTCTCTAGGTTATGTTATAGATGATTATTTTCCTCATTTTTACACTTTAGTTCAAATTATTAGAGGGTTATGTATAATTTTTTAAATCACATGGGAAGTAACTTGTACTTGAACCTAAAAAACAAAAAAGAATATCAAAAGTAGACGAATATAGGAAAGTCATCTTAATGAATAGACTTAACGGCTGGATTGGAGATAATGCTAAAAACGAAAAAACAAATGAAGAGACCAAAAAAAAAAAAAAAAATTTTGGGTTATTATCACTTTACCCCCTTAAACTATATTACTACTGTCAGTTTATCCTCTAACGTTATTTTTTAGTCACTTTACCTCCATAAGTAATTTAACTCAACATGTTAAGAAATTTTAGACAAAAATTACTCTTTTATTTTATAGCATTACTACATTGTTATTATCACTTTATTCATTTAGATTATAGTGATACAATCACTTTAGCTCCTAACATTATTTTCTAGACATGTTACCTCATCGTTAGTCTAACTAGTATGGTCAAAAATTTTTAAATATATTTACCCTTTTTTATATAATTAAAAATAAAAAAGTTGGAATGATTTTTCTTCATTTTTGCACTTTAAGAGATCAAAAAACATAAAAAATAAAAGGATTTTCTCAAATTTCTTTTTTTCACATTTATTAATACTAGGAAAAGAAAAAGAGATAGGAAAGAAGGAGACAAAAAACATTAGATTTTACAAAAAAAAAAAGAAAATAAAGAAAAGTCTAACATTATCGTATTACTTTAAGGTTGTCGAGATTATGATTGGAATTTGGTGGTAAACAAAAAAGTGAAATAATTTTAAAATAATAAAAGTATTTAATTCTTTTTTATTTGTAATTTTTAAAAAAAGAATTGAGCTCACTCTCTCTCCCTCCCCCCCTCCCCTTCCTCCTCTCCATCTTTTTATTTTTTTTTAATATTAATAAGATTGCCAAGAAGAAAGAAATTAATATTTTGACTTTTTTTCTTTATACTAAAAAGGAAAAGAGTCACTTTAAATTTTTTATTATTTTTATTATGCAAAGAGGAGGATATTTTCTTCTAAAATTTTTTAACTTGCTAAATTGGTTTAATGGTAGGATAAATTGTTCAAAAAATAACTTTGGAGGTAAATTGATAATGAGACTATTTTATGGGGGTAAAGTGATAATAATTTTAAAGGTTAAACATGTCTTTTCACTTTAATTAACAAATTCCGTTAAGTTAGACCGTCAGTCTTAAGGGTAAAGTGATTAAAAGATAACGTTAAATGGAAAATTGATCGTAGCATCAAACGTTAATGGGATAAAGAGATAATAACCCTTTTTTCTTCCTAAATTGAATACAATAGCCGACAGTGAAGGAAACGGGTTAGCCTTGTCTCCCAAGTGAACTGCCTACGCTATTTGTCTCCCAAGTGAAATGTCCATTCCTGTCATTTAATAAACTCAAATCCTAATCACATCTGGAAAACGATTTCAAGATTTTATACTCCCTTTTATATCTAATTTCAGCCAGCCTCCAGTAAATTGCATACTAGCGTTCCCTTTTTTTTTTTTGCCCCCTAATTGTTCATAACCCTCCAGTGATTGTTTTTCACTTGCAAATTAATCTATAGGTCTAAATAATGGAGTCACCAATATGGTTGCCACCATTGACCGCTCACAATCAGTACGTTATATCCGTGAAAGCATCACAACCAGGGCAGGCTGAACGTGATGATCAAAAACTTGAATTTCCTCACTTTGCAATCCTAATCAAACTTTCTGTAATTTTCTTCTCAGACAATGTCAGTACAAATGAGAGGTGCATCGAAGGCCTGAATATGGAGAAATATTTCAGTATACCCTGTCATGAAGTAACCGCAGTGTCCGGGAGGGAAACCATATCATCTATGCTGTATGACATGAAAATCCCTTTTGAGTTCGATGGAGCGATCTGGAGAGAAAAGCTGTTAAACGAGGCAACAAGAGACGACAAATTGACCGACAACTCAGATTTTCTTGAAAGAATCTGGCTATTTCTTCTGTGCATGAAGGAACAGGCACATAATTCTGGCAAGAAGAAATTGCCGTTCAAGTTAGAGATAGAGAAGATGGTTACAATACCCGACCATGAACTCAAGGAGTGGAATGCTTATTATAAGGATAAGAGAAGTAATGATCCCAATTTTGAGAGGGAATTTCAGGAAGCAATTAGAAGACCAAGAACGGATGAAGAATTGATTTATGAAACGACTCTTCTATCTAGGGGAGCAACCAAATCGTCAATTCAAGCATTAGAGGTGGTAACCCTTGATGATGGTTTGAGTTCAAGAAGTTATTGTTGTATCTGTCTAGATGAGTCGAAGGTGGGAATACAAGAAAATCGACTGCCTTGCTCGCATATTTTCCATAGAGATTGTATTTCGAGGTGGTTGCTAACGAGTAATATGTGTCCCTTATGTAGGTCAATAATTGATTATTGTATTCACATCTCTTAAAAAACTTCAAATTGATTCAATCTCTTCAAATTCATGAAGATTTCTAATGCATGAATGCAGAACAACTTAATATTCCACTGCACTATATGGCCTCAAAATCAGTCTTCACAGAAAGAGTAATATACATGCTTACTAGTGATGAAACGTTATTTCCATTCGACATAGATATCGAAGGACGGCTATTTTTGCTTATGGTTTTGCATGTTGGATGAGGGAAAAATTAAGCAGTATCAATCCTGCAAGCTACAATATTCTGCCTTTTACATTAGAAATCAGAAAAGAA